TTTCATCTGAGCATGACCCACATCTGAGGTTTCTCACCTTCACTTGACGTTGGTTTCAGGATGAGATACGAAGTTTGCATAAACCTTCTGTCCCTCTCGCAAGAAAAAGCTTATCGAGATGTCTTCATCGGAACCCCTCTTGCCAAGCTTGGAGCCAAAGGTGTCATCTTACAAATACCTTGCTGATAGGCTCTTTTGATCCTGCTCTTGCTCCTGCTCCTGCTCCTGCTCCCTCCTCTTCTTCTCCCTCCTCCTCCTCCTCCTCGTTCTTCTTCTCGTTCTTCTCGTTGTTCTCATTCTTCTCGTTCTTCTCGTCTTTGGTGTCTTCGTTGTCCTTGTCTTCACTCTTCTCTTCACTTCTCACTTCAAATGCAGTTGAAGATGTCTCATTCTCCAAGAGCAACTTGTTTGCTATCGGTTTGTCACTCCTTTCCTGTCAAGACCCACCACCATTCGTTTCTCGTGCTCGTGCTCGTGCTCGTGCTCGTGCTCGTGCTCGTGCTCGTGCTCGTGCTCGTGCTCTTCTTCCTCTATCAGAGTTTGACTCTCCTGCTCTTGTTTTGCTTATGCCCCCATCTTGCCCTAGGTGAACTTGTGGCCGTCGAATCTCCAAACTTTGCCGTCTGCGCGACAAGTATGAAGGAGGAGAGTGCGAGGAGCAGAGAGGAGAAGAGGAGAAGGGAAGAGACGAGAGAGCGGCAGAAGCGGGAGGGCGAGCAGGAGAAAGAGCAGTAGGAGAAGGTAGGAAGATGAGGAGGAGCAGAAGAAGGAGCAGGAGAGCGAAGGACGAGGAAGAATAAGAGCAGGAAGACGTGAAGACGAGACAGGAACAGGACGGAACTGACAGCCGGTTGCTCTTTCAGGTCGATTCGGTCGGTTGGCAGTGGGCCAGGAAAGGAAACTGGAGGGGATGACGATGAGGTGAAAGAGGACGCGGCAGGTACAGAAGACAACAAGAGGAGACGACGGGACTCCTTGGGTGACCGTCGTCTCTCAGGATACTGTACAAGGTGAGGAGGGTGAGGAGAAAGAGGGGGAGGAGAGAACATGGAGGAGGATTAGAACGGATCGGAGAGGAAAGCAGAGTATAGGAATGGAGAGGACAAGACAGCTGGTGGAGGGTAGAAGAGAGGAGAGAGGAGAGACGAGAAACGAGAAGAGGAGAGAAGAGGGGGGAGAGAGGGGGGAGGAGGAAGGAGGGGAGGGAGGGAACAGGTAGGAGCAGGGGAGACGAGGGGAAGGAGGAAGGGAAGGAGGTCGTGTGAGACTGTAGAGTTGACTTGTTGTTCCTTCAGGGATCGTGGGAGGGAGATGCGGGACTGACAGAGCTCGTACGATTGCACGGAGGACTAGAAGTATGCAGCTTCAGGTAGAGGAGGGAGGAGGGAGGAGGGAGGGGAGAGGTGGAAAGAGGGAGGAGGGAGGAGGGATGAGGAATAAGGGAGGGGAGGGTTGTTGGAAGCGGGAAAGGGGAATGGGGAAACGAGGGAGGTGGGAGAGGAGGGAGGTGGGAGAAGTGAGGAACGGGAAGGGAGGGAGGGAGGGGAAGCAGGGAGGGAGGATGGAGGGAGGATGGCCCTCATCGTGAGCTGTTGCGAGCAGGAGGTTGGGAAGATAAAATTCGCTCCCAACTTCGAGGGGATCGACTCACTAGAGACGCTGCTGGAGGAAGGGAAGGTGACCCTTTCCGTCCTCCTGCTCCTGTCCTGCCTTCCTGGCTCTGTCCAGTTCCTTCTCCTCCTCCTCCTCTCTCTACCCCCCCTTAGCTCAGGGCTTCCTGCCCTTGCAGAGCTGACTCCTTCAGCAGGTTTCTACAAACACGCTCTCCTCCTTCACTCGCTCCAGACCCCCTCATCTCTTCTCCAAGGTTCTCATCTCCGACTGAATATCTGTCTTGTTCTTCACTTGAAACCTCAAGAATGAATCAAAGAAATAAAAGAATACAAAGACTGTCAAAGTCCGGGCGCTGAACAGCACAAACCACCGTCTACCTCCGTCAGCTCGAACAGTCTCCCCTGCCTCTCCACCAGCTCCAGCTCCAGCTCCAGCTCCAGCTCCAGCACCAGCACCAGCACCAGCACCAGCACCAGCACCAGCTCCTGTGTTCGTTCACGCCCCAACCTCTTCCTCTCGCCCGATGCCGCGCAGCGAGTCCCAGATCCGCTTGGCAGACGCTGCGAGGAGGGGGGACGGCAGCACATGCTGCCGGATGCTGCCCCGTGCTGCCATGGCACCCCCCAGCGACCCGCACGAGAATCTCGAGCAGCGGAGCAGGATCCTCCTGCTCCTCGTCCTCCCTTCCTCCCTCCTCGGAAGCGAAGACTCTGACCAGCTCCTCAGAAACATCGGGCACAGGGGAGCGTTCTTATCCTCCGCCTCCTCGTGCACCCAGGTCGAGACCATCATGTAGCCGCCGCAAGCTCCTTGGGAGGAGGAGGACATTCCTTGCCACAGACGATCGAGGCGGAGCCAGTACGGAGACGAAGCTCTGAGCGACATCGTCAGGAGCGAGTGAAGCAGGGAAGTGAAGCGGAGAGGAGGTGAAGGGGATGAGTGATAGCACAACCAGCATGCAAGGACGGATGTGCAGTGGGGCAGGGAGAGGGGAGGGAGGGAGGAACATGCAGCACCTTCTCACGTCGAGGATGAGGACGGCATCTTCACTCTCGCTGAAGCCCCCAATGATTCCATACCGCATCTCACGAGAAGAGGAGACTGTAGGGACACTTCGAGTGAGGTCGAAGCGAAGGGAGGCAGAGCAGAAAGGGAGAGGGCAAGCATTGAGGAGGGAAGCGGAGGAGGGAAGCGGAGGAGGAGGTGGTGGTGGTGGAGAAGGGGGGGGGGGGGGGGAGGAGGAGGAGGAAGAGGAGAAGGGGGACTGAACCTGGTCGGAGCGGAAGTTGACTATGATGAAAGATTTCGACTTCGAGTCGCCCACATTGGCCTGGGGCTTCAGTGAGTTTCGAGCACCATGACCCACAGCTAGCAGACCTTGAGCCGGGCCCGGAAGTGATCGAAGGCCGAGAGAGCAGAGTTGTAGATAGGAACTCGGCTCCACTGAGACATGGAGGCGGCGGAGGAGACGGCAGGGAACACATGGGCTCTAGCCCCACAGGATCGCGCTAGAGCTGAAAGCTGCATAACAGTCAAGACGAAAGTTGATCGAGACATTTCGCTCATGGTGCTCCTCTTCTGCTTCCTCTCCTTCTTCCTCTTAATCTCCCTTCTCACCTTCCTCCTTTCTCCCAGTCACTCCTTCCTCGCAAGGAACAAGACAAGGGCGAATGCAAAGAGGATAGTCGAAAAGAAAGACTCTCTCTTCTCTCCTCTTCTCTGTTCTTTCCTGTCCCCTCTAAAATCTGATTGCTATCAGGCTGCTTGTAAGACTCATTACCTGAGTAAGAGACAAATCACTTGCATTTCCTTCGATCTTCTCATACAAAAAATTCTGAGAATCTAGAGGTCAACAAGTACCCATCTGCACAGGAGAAGTTCAACCTTCAATGTATCGACAGTGTTCCATCTCCATGGGTCCTTCCACACTTGCTGACAGTCGTGTGCAAGAGCGTTCAGCACAACTGACAAGCTGAAGGATAAACTCAGTGCTCAGCTTCCACCCAGCCAACACACAAAACAACCTCGAGGTAGCGTTCTCGTTCCCTTCCTGCAAACTCATCTGCTCTACCAGCTTGAAGTAGGACTCGAGCGTTCCGGCAGCAAGAGCATCACAGAACATCATTTCTCCTCTCTTGCTGCTCAGAGGAACCGCTGCCGCCCCATTGGCGACCCCCTCAACCACCCTGTCCTCCGCTCCAACTGCCGCGGGACCTGTCGTGCCTGGCACCGACTCGACATCCATCCCATGGTCTTCGATCTCCACGGCTATCGCAGGGACGTAGCTGTTCTCCGCACAGCTCTCGTTCATCAACGACAAACACGCAGAGGTCGACAACTTCTGCCCTCCTTGCTCCCCCTCGCTCACTCTCTTGGCCCTGACAACTTTGCTCTGTAGAGGGCGCAACCCTGCTGAAGTGTAGCTCCTCTTGCCGTCTCCCTTGCATGCTGGAGACACGATATCTTCGATGTCCTTCAGAGGACAAATCTCGCCAAATTTGCAGTCGCAGTTGGAGCATCGTTGACCCTGCCTGAAAAGGTTGCAAGTTCGCAGACGAGCGGCTAAGCTGGACGGCAGCCTCCGGGACGCCATGCTCCTGAGCATCATATCAGTTACATGTGGCTGCATACAGGTGAGAGACAATGACTACAAGGAGTAGATCCTCCCTATGCTTTCCTTGGAACACATGACGTGTTGAAAACTAACACTTCTTCACTTCCCTCTTCAGCCTTCTTCCGCTCTTTTCGCATCTCTCCACCTCCTTTCGGTCCAACTTCTCTGTTCTACATCGTTCTTCTCTTCTCCACCCATTCATCTCCTCTCCTCTCCTCTCCTCTCCTCTTCTCCTCTATCACAGCATCATTCTTCTTCCCTTGTCTCCTTCTCGTCCCTTCCTCTCCTTTCATTGCCTCTTGACTGCGCTATCATTTCCGCGAAGCCCGTGCACGACCCCCACACCCTTCACCCTCACCCCCCCTGGGTAAAATACCCCCACCCCTACTTGCATCTTTTTTGTCCTCACACCCCTACCAAAGTCTTCCATGACCACTCTGTACCGCTATATTCAGAGAAGATAGTACCTAAAAAGGGGGGTGATATATCACCCCACCGGGAAACCAGCAGCAACATAGAACCCCTGTGCCCCAATACGTGTTGAATGGATCACCCCCACCCCCGCATTGTGTGCAACTCCCAATCCTGTGAACCCCTACCTACCCAGGTCGGCTGGCCCTCTAATTAAATGACCCCACCTGGTATTGGTGGGTATAATGACCCTCTCAAATCATCTTTAGAGTACCCCTCCTCCCAAAATTATTTTCTATTTTGAAATATCCTTATTAATTTTGAATCTATAGCATTAATTTCTCAAAATCATATAAACATGCGGTCACAATGCGACCAGTGAAGCAGGGAGCGGATGGAAGAGGAGAGGAGGGGGGGGGGGAGGAGAGGGACGGAGGAAGGAGAAGGGAGTGGAGAGGAAACGAGCTAAGAGGAGCTCAGATCACAATGGGGCATCTGCTCTGGTTCCGGCGATTCTCCTGAGAGCGAGGAATGAAACACTTACACAGTCCAGCCAATCGCATGACCCGCTGCTGGGTGATCTTGACTCTCTTCGTCCTCTGCGCTCATGGCGAGTACAAGAGGAGAGGTCCCATCCGTAGGAAAATCTTCGTCGAGAAGCCGAAGACGCAGCTGCAGATCCGATTCCCGGCGGACTTCCCGACCCTGGACCGAGCCATTGGGGTGAAATTCCCTCTCCCCATCTACATCGAGGAAGGAAATCACTACTTGGGTGGACGCCTTGCTGTTCATAAGACAGATGTCAAGCTGTACGCGGGACCCAACTTCTTCCCGGTCATACATGGAAGGTGGATGCTCCTTCCTGGCTCCACGGGGGAGCTGTCGAATATCTGCTTCCAGCATGAGGCGGAGGCGGAGGAGACGTGCATGCACATCCTTGGGGGCAACGGGATCGCTCAGATACATGCCATCACTGATGTCATCGATCCCTGGAGGTTCGAGGACTGCAGGGTGTATGCCTTGGACGGGACGTCTATCCTGCTCTCGGGGGTGGGGAGAGCGACGTTCAAGCATTGCATCATGGGAGGGAGAGACGAGGAGAAGCGATCACTGACAGCGTGAGTTGCGATGCGATGCTGCTCTGTGAGAGGTGTGGTGACGACTGGAACAGAGTCGTGCTTGCCGAGAGTTCGTGGTGCTATGCACAGAGCTCAAGGTTTGCCAACTGTGCAAACAGTGGCATTAGAGCGGTGGGAGATTCAGAAGTGAGGATTGAAAGGTCTTCCTTCGGAAGCAACTCGGTGATGATAATTCTGATGTCTTACTCGCAAGAAGCTTGTCTATCTCATCACAACCTTGCTTGCTCGATGATGACTCGTTCCTCAGGCGCATTTTTCTTTGAGCGGCTCAGCCTCCGTCTCCTGCACATCTTTGAAGATGGGCACAGCCTTTGTCTGCTCCATCTTCGTTGGTCTTCATGTGTAGCAGCAGCAACGTGACCGTCTTGTCAGGTGATGGAAGGCAACAACTGTTCGTTGACCCTGGAGCAGACGAAAGTGAGTTTCACAGGCACATCGGGGAAACGAAGTTTCTGACTGGTTTCATCCCGTTCAGTTGCATAACAACGTGTGGGCTGATGAGAACAGGCCAGCAAGGCTGATGGTCAATTCATTGTCTTTTTCCCCTCCTCTCTCCTTTGCTCACATGCCAGACCAGATGGAAAAGTGTACCTTCGTGGACCCACCCGATCCAGTGACTAAGACGAATGCTCCGCAACCCGCGCCTGAAGAAAGTTTGTACTTTGTCTTGACGATTGAGAGCCATTGTTGAGGCCGGTCTGTCAGAACAAGACAGCAAGGTCAAGCAAGGCGGCAAACACAAGGGAGCAGCGTTTGAGAGCTCAGAGGAGGAAGAGTTCAAGTTGAGCTCAAAGGATTCAGGGCTCGACAACAATGAGATTCAGAGGTATCATGATGATTTGCCGATGATTTATTTTTGTAGTTATTCAAAATTTTCAGGCAATTCGACGAGCGGGAAAAGCTGCTGAAACGAACAACATCCACCAACAATGTATTTTCCAATTGATGCCGTGGATAATGATGCTTGACCTTTCCTGGTTCTTTGCATGTTCCTCTCTACTCGTCAACTTTTACTCACATCGCTGTTGCCCATTCCTGCCTGCTCGACCTGATTTGCTGATTTCTTCCACTGTTGTCTTACATTCAAGGCTTCACCTGTTATGACTTGTCAACTACATTCTCACACAAGAACTTGTTCTTCGTCTCATTCATCTTCCAGGGACAAACCAGGACGCAGAAGAGAAATCACAGGAGGAGGAAGAAAGAAGCCTTTCAAGAGGTCCAGCCTTCTCCTCCGCCTCCTTCTCACTCTCATCGCAGTTGTCGCGCATCTCATCCATCCTGGTGCCCCTGAAGAAGTCGCCAGCAACAACCCAGGGCCCCCTCTCTGGTGATTTCTCCATTGCATCCATGAAATCGTTGACTTGTTCCTTCAGTTGGGACCAGGGCCGGGGACAGCGATGACGATGACGAATCTGAGATGGAGGAGCAGGTTCGGAGATACTCCTCCCTATTCCATCTCTTGATAATCTTCTCTCCTGCCATGTTTACATTCCATGTTGTCGTATCTCATTCCACCGTCGTCCGATCCTACTTCAAATCATGCCGCTCCCACTGCTACGTCCTCCCCGATCGTCTCCTCCTCCAACTCCAACTCGATGACTTCGCAACTCATCTCAATCATTCCATTATCGTCCTACTTTCTCGTTCATACTTCCTTCTCCTGCATCTACTAGTCCTTCTCTGATCCACTTGACTTCTCGTCCTCAGGATCGCACGGTCATTGAACCACGGAAACGCCTCGTCCGCTCTGAAGAGATCTACGGCAACAGCTACGGGGTGAGCGCTACTGCCTGCTCCGATGAAGAAACCTTGTACCGACCTCAACGTTTCTACAGCAACGGCTGCAGCGGTCAAGAGAACGACCGACGGTGTATGCCCACCCACAGGTCGATAGATTTGAAACTTATTGTTCCTTGTCTAGCTTGACAAGCCAACTTGACTACATCTTTGTGCGCCTGCCTTGTTGATTGCTCAACCTGCTCCCCGCAGCTGATGAAGAAGGCAATACTCAAGGGCAAGGGTGTCGACACTCGAGACAAGGTGGTTGCGTGAGAGTCCGTGCCTGTGACACTGACACCTTGACAAGATGTACATCGACGATGAAGGCAATGTGAGTTGAAGATTTGCCAATCTTGTGTTTGCGATGTTTGTTCATCTGATTTCCTTCTTTCTCCCTGCCTTCCCTTCTCGCACTGCCAGGTGCAACATGTTGACAAGTGAGTCTTAACTTTCCTCCCGCTCGCATCGTCTGACCAACAATCCATCCAGTGAGGAGGGCGGGAAGGTCGACAAGCGAAGGAGCGACACGGATCCAATATGTCTCTTCCTCTACCTCCCCCCCTCTCTCCCTTCTCTCTCTCCCCCCTCCCCAGCCCTTCCTTGCTCCTCTACCTAATCTCCCTTATCTACCTTCTTTCCCTCCTCTTACTCCCCTCCCTTCTCTCCTTCCTCTTCCTCTCCTTCTTCTCTCTTTCCTCCCTCTCCCTCTTCCTCTCCCCTTCCCTTCTTCCTCTCTCATTCTTACGGTTCTTTCAGTGCATATCTCCACCTCTCCCCTCAAAGTTTCGGCCCGCAAGCCCCGTGAGGGTTCAGCATGTACATGCCAAGTACTCACCTGTTGCTCCAGGAAAGCGCGTGAAGTGGAGGAGCGGAACTCTCCGAGGAAGCAACAAGAAGGAGAATCTCAACTTGTAGAGCGAGGAGGGGGGAGCAGCGAGCAGCGAAGCGCAAGCAGCAGCAGGCGAGCTGTTAGAGAACAGCAGGGCGAAGCTCAGCCACTTTATCCCAACAACAGGATGGAAACGATTCTGGAGGCGGAGAAACCGTACAGCCACATGATGCCCCCGATGGATCCGAGGGGTCCGGCGATGACCTGCTTGAAACTCAGGCGGAGGAGCAGGAGGAGTAGGAGCAGGAGGAGGAGGAGGAGTAGGAGTAGGAGGAGCAGGAGGGGAAAAGGCAGGAGGAGCAGGTTGTACCTGCCCCAAGATTGCTCCCATGACCACTGCAGCTTTCTCCCACAGCATGAGAGGAGGGCGGTCGGGGAAGAGAGGAGCGTTGAGAACAAATCTGAAGAAGGTCAGCTCGGTGGGAAGGCAGGAAGGCTCTTACGCAGAGACGCGGAGGCCGACGTGCAGAATGACGAGGGGGAGGAGAATGTTGATAAGGAAGAGGAGGATTCCGAGAGCCAGTTCTCTGCAGCCATGAAGGGGACGTCACGAGGAACGAGGGGAGGGGAGAGCTGCGGTCACTTGGGTGTGCTGAAAGCCTTCTGAAGCTTGTTCAAGACGCGAGAATGCCATGGCGCGAGCGTCAGAGCTGCAGTGATGCGGAGAGGGCGGAGCCAGAACTGCAGAGACGTCAGTGGAGGGCAGGAGGAGCAGAGGGGCAGACCTGCGAGCTGCACACGGCGAGGTACAGGAGGAAGAAGCCCTTCCACTGCAAGAGTGTCAGGAGGCAGGCCGGCAAGGAGGTGGAGCTGATGGAAGACTGGGATGGGAACCGGGACAGGGAAGAGGACGATGTCGAGTGAGGACGAGGACGAGGACGTGGACGAGGAGCAGGAGCAGGAGCAGGAGCAGGAGCAGGAGCAGGAGCAGGAGGAGACCAGCACAAAGGTCTACCTGCTCTTGATCTAGTGGAGAGAATCCCGTCCGCAGGCCTATAGATATGGAAGTGTGACCAAGGAGAGGATGAGGAAGGGAAAGTTACCGTGGAGCATCCAGGAGACGACAATACAAACACTGTGAAGTTTCATCGGTCATCATCGTGTGCATGACATGTTGTTTTGCAAGACAAAAAAGAACTTCTTTACCTGTATGTCAGATGGCTGATAGCTCCTGCGCCAGAGCCTTGTCAGTTCAACCCACCCAAAATGTCGAGCTGTGCCGTACCGTACATCAACACACCGCTGATACCATGCTTCTGAATGACCTGCGGACTTTCCCGTATCTGTAACAAACAGGGAGGGTGCGGGTCAGCGGGACGTGTTGCGACAGGTTTCCAAACCTCCTTGATGAAACTTGCAAGTTTGCTGAGCACCCACTGGACCATGTCAGACTCACCACAGAGAGGTCGACGATGAGGAGACATCCTCACCTCCTTCAGGGAGACACTCGCACGCCCGACCTTGGATGCTGACCTCTGAAAGGCAGACGACAGCTTGTCTGACCATCCGCTTGCCTTCATTGATAGCGCGTTCCTTCTTCTCATCCTCCGACCAAGATTGTTGGGCATACAAGTCCGCAGGAGGACCCGGTGGCAACCCCTCCCAACACTCATCAGGGTGATCGGAGGAGAGACGGCCTTCCTGAGCGAGCAAGTGTTCAACTTCTTGCCATGGTCTGTGCGGCCTGCGAGGGAACGCTTGGCGCTCTCGAGCATGCGGAAGATTGGGGAGTGTGAAGCGAAGCTGATGGAATATTTGTAGCCGTTGGGATCGTTGAGATCCGTCAAGGGGTCGTAGCTGTCTTCTGATGAGCTGCAGTTGTCGAGGAAGTAAGGGGCGGTACAACCTTTCTTGTGCTCATCCATTCCCGTGACATTCTCGCACTGGAATCCGCATCGTTCGCACAAGTAGAAACTGTTGAAGGTACCGATGACCCCTGGCACTTGCTCAAAGGAGAGAGGTCCAAAGGGCTCGTCCGTCTTGAAGCCATCGGAGCAAGGGGCGTTGAAGGCAAGAGCAGGAGAGGAGCGAGGGAACGACTTGATAGAATGGCCATGGATCCGAGTGGCGGGTGTGCGAAGGGAGCTTGCGGAGGGGAGAGGAGGATGGATGGAGGCGGAGGAAGAGACGTCGAGGGGAAGAGGTAAGAGTTGAAGTCGAGGAGGAGGGGGCAGCAGAAGGCAACAGGGAGTGGAAGCGACGAGGACGGCTACCACCATCCCCTGCTTCGCCAGCATGCTGGGTCCGGGCCTTGCTAGGACAGCGATGTTTTCCTTGGAATTTGTAACATTGGAAAATTGCTGTCTCAAAAGTCGCCTCGGAGCCATTATTACCGTTACAATATTTCCGTTACAAACCATAGTTCTAACTGTTTGTAACGATCTTGTCGAAGGGTCGCGGCTGAGTGGGCAATGCCGTGTGTTCGTTAGATGAGGGGAGAGGGAGCATGGCGAGATGACGAGGAGCGAGAGAGAGGGAGGAGGAAGAAGAGAGAAGGAAGAGAACATGCTGCAGGGAGCGAGAGGGAGGAGGAGAGCAAGCATGCGCACAGGACAAGGGGTAGCGTGACTGTCATCAGAGGAGAGGGTGGATTCTGCAATGACCCCGAGGACATCTGAGTTGGGTGAGCATTGAGAAGTATTGCAGAGCATGATGTGGAAGATAGAGGGAAGAGGTTGACTTGCTTGATGCTGATGTGGAATATAGAGGGAAGAGGTTGGGTTGCTTGATGATGATGTCACAGCAAGTGTTGAAGTCTGTGAGAGGGAGGTGGATGAGAGTGTTGCGACGGCATCGGCCTGCTCGCAGAATATTCCAGAGTTTCGTGCAAGGTCCTTGTTGACGATCAGTCCGAGAGAAAGGCAGAGGGATTGAGCAAAGCATCCTGATCCAATAACCATCGTCATGCGGATATGATACACAACGATTTTCCCATCTGCAGGCATCTGATGTCGTTACTCAGGAAGGACGGCGCTGTCATCGCGGTAGAGGCCAAGCCGACTGGAAACGATGACGTACGGCTCTATGGCCACTGCTGATGCCTCCGCCGAGCAGGGAATGGATGCTCCAGCGAGGTAACATGCAGACCATGCGCTGTCGGTGTCGCTCATTGCGTTGTTCTCAGGCCGAGCATGCGGAGTAATGTAAGACTAGCGGTTGGATCAGTGCTCCTGATGGCTGCGGTCATGTGCGGGGTCATGTTGAACCAGGTTTGCCATCTAGAGGCTTGTGATCGGAGCTCACTCATGGCAGATTGAGAACGGGTTTGATTGGAACGTAGTCGGATTGTTGGGACTGTCTTCCTCGCCCAAGGATTCCTCCTTCTTCCCTTCCTGGACCCACGGTGGAGCCTTGCGATACTACGACAGGTATGCCTTCTACAAGAGGACACAACCGGTGTTGCTGTTACACCGGATCATCTGCTCTACGTTTTCGATGCTGCTTTCCTCGTCTCTCCTGCGAGTCTGCTTGAATCCCTGGGGAAAATCCCTCCTTCAAGTTCTGATGGATCTCCTCCCAATCAGGTCGATGGCCCATGGACAGTGGTCCCCCGATGCTGGCCCACCATACGTCAAGCACGTCACCATGTGGTCGGACCCTGACTGTGTAGATCACACTGGCCCGGCAAACAATGTCCGCAGAATCCTTGGCTTGAGAACGTGAGATCGTGTCTGCTTGCTGGCGGGCTCTTGTCTCCACCTTACTCACCTTGGATGACAGATCATGGCATGATCACAAGTGGAACACAAACTCCTTCATGTCAGACATGAACTCCGTACAGCTCCGCTTCCTCTCCCGCAATACCAACTCGGTCAGAACTACTCGTTTGCCACCCACGAAGGCTCTTGCTGACTTGACGTCGTGACAGGTCCTGGTCATCCCTCCCTTCCACCAGTTTCCTTCCATGTCGACCAGGGCCATGGCCATGTTGAACGACTACGTATGTCCCGATGCCACGCACTCTCTGTCTCGTGACGTGGACTTGATAGGTTCTTGTCGGAGGAAACACTATCATCGTTGTGGGTGGCCCGACGGGCGTCTTGTTTATCAATCAGAACCTCGCTGGGACTGACGGGTAAGTGGGCAGTGATCCTCCTCCTCTCATGCTGGACTCTCATCAGTGCCCTCCTCCCCCCCTTCACCCCTCCATCCTCCTTCGCTCCTATCCTCTGCCCCGCCCCTCCGTTGTTCCTCCTCGCTTCTCTCCTCCTCTCCTGCGCGTCCTCGCACCTCCTCACTGATCGGTTGCTCTCAGCTACGGATACGAGCTGGAACCCAAGTGGGTTGAGGGGCCATATGAGATGCAGGATTCAGCCATGGGCTCCGCGTTCCAGTACGGCGCGGTCACTCTGCCTGCTGTGGAGACGTACAATGTGGGAGTGACGACAGCATCGTTGCCCAAGGAGGTGAGGAGAGGAGGACTGCGGCTCCTGCCTGCCAGAGCGGCTTGAGGTGACCGGGAACTGCAGGCTGTCTCTTACTACGAGGCCTCAGAGGTCTCAGTAGTCTTCATGCTTCCTTGCGAAGCTGGAAGGATCATCTACATCGGCTACACTTTCGCTGAGATGGTACACCATCATCTTGTTCTCTCCTCCCCTCCTGACTTCCTCCTCCTCCTCTCCAGGTCCCTGCCTGGACGGATATCCTCCTCCTTGCACTGAGATCAAGCCCAACCTAAGGAAACTCTCTAGAGAGAGGCGGGCGAATGTTTCTTGCTGTTTCAATGAAGCAAGTTCACCTTTCTCTCGTCATGCTCTCTACCTTCCTCTCGGTTTCCCTCCTCCTCCCTCTCCCCTCCTCTCCCTCCCGTCCTCCCCCTTCGCTCGATTCCTTTTGCCCGGATTTTCGGGATTGTGCGGTGGGGTGGGGTAGTCCATGAAGTCTAATAAAGAGGGGTTGTAATTGGAATATTGAGGGGTAGTATCTCACACGGATGGGTGGGGTTAGTGGGTTGTTCAGGATCAACGGGACGGACGATGGCAGCGATAGCAAGGAAGCTCAAGGCGCTGGAATGCAGCGAGGTGAGGAGAGAGGAGAGGAGAGGAGAGGAGAGGATATGAGAGGAGATGAGAGGAGAGGAGAGGGAAAGATTGGGGAAGCAGCAAAGTAGAGGAGAGCAGGAGAGAAGAAATGAGCGGAGGAGAGCAGGGGAGGCGTGTTCAACCAAGAGAAGTCAAAGCGAAGCAATGAGCATGCCCGGGTCTATGCGTGCATCATCTCCTTGTGCAAAACTTTCAGTGTCCTCGCTCTCTGTCCAACGACATGCTGTTCTTTCCCTTGTGAATGTCCCAGCACCATGGGCTGTGCTGCTTGCTGTGACAAGCTCCTCATGCAGGCCAGTGGGTTGGACCTGGAGTCAGAGCAATCCTTTAGGTTTCTGGTCACCTGGCTAGAGAACCGCAAGATTCGTTTCTACACGCAGGAGGAAAGAGCGGCACTGAACGACATCAACTCGGCTGGCTGGTGAGGGAGTGGGGAGAGGAGAGGAGAGGAGAGGAGAGGAGAGGAGAGGAGAGGAGAGGAGGGGAGGGGAGGGGAGGGGAAGGGAGGGAAAGGAGAGAGGGGAGAGGAGGGAGGGAGGGAGAGGAGGGAAGAGTACGAGTCTGTGCTGATATGCGATACGAAGGGACAAGGCCATGAAGAGTTACTTGCAAGATCTGGGAGCGTCGGATTGGGAAGCACCAAAGGATAAGAGGGAGAGGCATGTGGTGCTGGATTGGTTGCTGTCTTACGCGATCGGGATGGAATACTCGGGTATGTAGACGTGTGTGAGAAGAGAAGATTGTGAGTGAGAACGGAAGGTGTGCATAAGGAGAAGAGAAGGTGTAGAAAGAGAAGAGATTGTGTAAAAGAAAGATGAAGGTGTTCAAAGAGAGGATTGTGTATAAAGAAAGAAGGTGTAGAGGGAGAGGAGATTGTATAAAAAGAAAGATGATGGTGTAGAAGTAGAGATGTGATGTACAATCTGAATGGATGATGTTTGGCTTGCAGATCGGGCTAGCGAGCTACAAAAGATCAAGGAGAGCAAGAGCAAGGTAGTGACATCACCTCTCGAGCTCTGCGATCCTGCTGTGACCTTGCAAGCTGCAGGGCAAGTCGGTCGATACCAGGGCAGGTTTCCTCCTCCCCCTTAGCCTGCAGCGCATCCTGTCTTAGCTGCTCTGAGCAGGGAGCCTGTCGGCGAGCGACAGCATCGAGCTCGACGTCGAGTCCAGGGAGTTTCGGTGAGGACGCGTGTTGGGTCAGGCACTTGGATGTGACAGGAAATGCTGTGCAGGTCAGCTCTAGAGGAGCTAGCGGGGGTCCTGGGAATCCCCAAGGATGAATCAAGCGATTCCATGGTGAAGGAGGGAGGGAGGAGATGGGGAGGAGGGAGGGAGAGGAGGGATCAAGTGTAGGAGAGGAGGGAGCAAGTGATGAAGTCTGGTTGCAGCTGCAGGCCTGCGCCTCGGTGCTGGAGAGCAAGCTGAGCAAGTTTGCGCTGGAGCAGGTGAGAGTTGTGTTGGGGGGTTGATGATGGTTGTGATGGTTGTGATGGTTGTGATGGTTGTGATGGGATGCTGTTGGAGAAGAGGGGGACGACGAAGAAGAAGACAAGAGATTATTGCCTTGAAATCGAGGTATACCACAGGTATTGTGTCACGCGATAACCCTCCTTTCCTCTCCTCTCCTCTCCTCTCCTCTACTCTCCTCTCCCCTCTCCGCTCCTCTCCTCTCCTATCCTCTCCTCTCCTCTCTCCTCTCCTCTCCTCTATCCTCTCCTCTCCTCTCCTCTCCTCTCTCCTCTCCTCTCCTCTCCTCTCCTCTCCTCTCCTCTCCTCTCCTCTCCTCTCCTCTCCTCTCCTCTCCTCTCCTCTCCTCTCCCTACCCGTCTCCTGACATCTTTTCCCTGAAAATTCTAATGCATCGATGATGAATAGGAGACGAGCAACTCAACAAAGCTGCTTCTCTCCTCCGACTTCTCTATGTACGTTCCTCCTCCCTCCTC